ATATATATATATATATATATACCGGGTGTTTTTGCGAAGACTTTCAAAAAGCCTAAAAATTAGGGCGATTGAAAAAAGAAGAAACTCTCTTCGGGAACAAACTACCAGCCACGGCGGACGTCAGGAATTGCCAAAAACCTACTAATTAGCCAGATAATTAATTAAAACTTGTTAATTAACTTTGTAATTAGGGGAAATAGACATATGGTTGCAATTAGAAAGTTGCTGAGCGTTATCGAAAACCACTAAATCAGTCATTTTCAGAAAGACTTTGGGCGCGTGAGACGAGTAGTAGCGCACTAAAGTTACCACTCGTGGAGCAGGTACAAGGCTAGCGGTTGCGGTAAGGCGCCCGCGCGATTTTTCCGCCTCTTATCTAGCCCCAGCCTTGTACCTGCTCCACCAGTGGTTATTTTAGTGCGCTACTACTCTTCTCAAGCGCTTAAAGTCTTTCTGAAAATGACTGATTTAGTGGTTTTCGATAACGCTCAGCAACTTTCTAATTAGAGCCATTTGTCTATTTCCCCTAATTAAAAAGTTAATTAACAAGTTTTAATTAATTATCTGGCTAATTAGTAGGTTTTTGGCAATTCCTGACGTCCGCCGTGGCTGGTAGTTTGTTCCCGAAGAGAGTTTCTTCTTTTTTCAATCGCCCTAATTTTTAGGATTTTTGAAAGCCTTCGCAAAAACACCCGGTTATATATATATATATATATATATATATATATATATATATATATATATATATATATATATATATATATATATATATATATGTATATACTACGGATGGGTCAGTACTACTGGCGTATCGTTTGGGGTAGTTTTAATTTTCATCATCAAACGGTTCTATCACTGTAGTTTACATATTCTATTATAAATTCGATTGCAAATGTCGCAATTACGTTGTTTTTATGCACCTGATTATAGTAACATATTGATACCTCTTTTTATTCGGGCCCATAATATTTTACTCGCTGTTATACTTAAATGCCAGATGCAAAGCTATGTGAAACTCATATATTTGGAAAAGTATATAAAGTAATTTTGAAACTGTCTGCTGCGTTTATTGTTTGTGTATACACGCCTTTTCACAACTGTAAACAGCGTATTCATTTAAATGCGCGTTTGTTAAATATTTTGCATTTGGGTTTTGATACATTCTTGTAAACATTTTTTATCATATCTATAAAGTTCCCTACAGAAAGGAATCGTTCCAAGTATTTTATAGAGCGCAGCTCTTAGGCGCCCGTTTCCTGGTTGAACGTCGTCGGCGTAGGCGTAATCGCGCGTTGCATTATGGGACGTTTTTCATAATGACGTTAAACGTGACGTCACGTGCCGTCACGTGTGATGTCATTATGATCAACGTGACGTCACATGTCACATCTGGCTAAATTCATCAAAAATATTTAGCAGAAATTTTTCCGATAAATTTAGCGGGGAAATTGGCGTCACGTGAATTGAACACCAATTCAATTTCCCCCTCTAAATTTAGCGGGAGAAAGTGACAAAAATTTCCCCGCTAGATTTAGCAGGGAAGTTTTTGCTAAACTTCTCGTTAAATTTAGCGGGAAAATCTTGGTAAATTTTCCGCTAAATTTAGTGGGGAAATTTTCGCTTCATTCAGCGGGAAATTTAACGAAAATTTCCCCCTAAATGGGAGCGGAGCAGGAGAGGAGGATACGGCGGCGGAGCAGGGACATCCCCTCCCCTCCGCACCCTCCCCTCCTCCTCCTCAATAGCTGCGTTCTAATTCGGCATTACACAGAATTGTAAACGTCTTTACATTTTATGCTTCTGGTAATATCACGAAGGCCTGCCGCAATTTTTTATATTGTTTCCTAAGTAGAGAAGTATGTTGGCAGAGAAATATGAATAAAACGACCAAACGCAGTCTTTACTTAGAATATGCTGCCTTTGCGATTACTTTTTTTAAAATGATGAATGCAGGTTTTCTACTCAAGAAAGCGAAATCAACAAACAAAATGGAATTTCACGAAGGCACGCCCTATATGTCATTATTCGCGTAGCTAAAAAAAATCGCACGAAGACATCAGTGCCACACTATGAGCCCCGAACTTTTTTTGTTGCTTTTTCATTTTCAAGTTTGAAGTTAAATTGAATTCGCACTTTCACAGCAACAATATGAATATGCGCAGTACACTTAAAAAAAATTGATCTCACAGTAGAACAAATTTTTTTTTTGTTTAAAAACACATTTTGTCTAATAGATTTTAAATTTAAACAATGTCATTACATTGTAACATAGCACCTATTTCTAGATTTGCTCTTCGGTTTTGCGAGGAGTACGTTGATTGCTCTATTTTCTGTTCTTGTCGACTGGATGAATAATGATCGAAAACAAGTGTTGTGTGTAACCGAAGCGTTTGCGAGAGGTTGAAACAAATATGAAATCAGTTCGCGACTAAGCCGATAGATGGCGCCACCATCTCTGGCGCGTTTCCTTACCGGACCCAGAACGGAGCCGATTCTCGAAGAGCCCCCCCTTGGTGGCGGAAACGATAGGGCTAAGTTTCTGAAGATGTCAGTGTCCATACTGCATGTTTTTTTTTTTTTTTTTGTTTTTTCGTTTTTTTTTTTTACATCTATCCCGAACGTCTTTTTAGTATGTGAATCTAGGCTAACTCCGCAGTTTTTGAATTAAGAAAAAAATTATCGAATACTCTACATATCCTTATTATTTGGTAAGCATTTCATGTCAAGGATCCTCGCACTCGCTACTTTGAAGGTTTAACGTAATGTTTAATCACCAAATACATCTACATGTAGACATCTGCGAAGGTTATATTTCTCTTCCGAGCGTTTGTCGCTATAGAATATTATTAAATATCGAATCGATATCTGCGTTAAACTGATACGGCAGCGTGTGGCCAGGAACTCTCTAAGACGTTGTAAAGCGCTCCAAAAGGCCCTAATAATACTTTTTTTATTTGCTGTGAGTCGGAAAAAAACAACAACAACATAGATGTAATAGGCGCGCACTCGATAATTGGGTCTTTAAAGGGGAACTAAAGTAAATTCCAAAACCTCTTTTTTTTTTTTAGAACGCAATTTTATTTTGCACGCACTGACCATCCTAGAAAACGAAGTATTACGTAGTCATGCATGACCTCTTCCTCTATTAAAAACGCGGCCATTATTCGTGACTCGCCCCCTTTTCTAATCACTATCTCAAAGAAGGGTCGTGACGCGATGTTCGATCGAGTTTTTGATAGGAAAATATCACGCATGACTGCAATTTTTTTTGTAATGCTTAAGCTAAAACGCGAAAAATGATTCTGCGTCGTGAAGAAGCGATATCAATATCCACTTAGTGTACCTCTAAGATTTATCCCCCGCCCTTGGGAGCGGGCAGGTAAGCGCACAGGTAGAGCCGTAAGTTAGAAGGCCGTGTACGCGTGAGCCGTCAAAATATACAAACGATTCGACACTAAGGTGTTCTATGAATAAAATGGACCCCCTTTTCGTTCTGAGAATATAGACGATTCGCTAATTTCACCCTTTTCATGGGTGTAGACCAATCGCACGGGAAGGAGCCTTCGTAGTCCTTTGCTTTAAGAACAACAAATAATTCATGGCTAATCGTGAAGCCGTTTACCACTTCGCGATATGTTTTAAATAGTTATTATTACTGATGATGCGATTTCATAACTAACAACGAACGACAACATGATTGGAGGTAGCCACGTTCCTCTTGTGATTGGGCTGTCCGTGGGCTTGAGATACATCTCCTTTTTCTTTTCTGTTGTTTTCTTTTACTCTTAGTAAATTCAACCACGACGATTTTAACTTATGACTGGGGCAGGAGTAGAAAATTCATTCTGCCCCAGCCATCACGGTAAGCGTCCACCAGCTAGCCTGCGAACTGCGTGTAATTGAGTAAATTCAAGTTTGAAATGCGGGGTAATGCTAAGTGTAGTTGGATATATAATAATCCAGCTACACTAAAAAAACTAGTACGTTTACTTTCTTCGAAAGCTGTTGGTAGGAAGAGTCACTGCCTTCTAGGAAGAGAGCTTGGCGGATGACGAGGTTGGAAATACATTTAAATAAAAAAATATATACATTCGCAGCACTGTGACACTCAGCATGACATTCCGCATGCTACGTCAAGCTCACCACAATAGTGCAAACTGGTATTTTAAGATTCCTAAAATTTACGCAGCCGGTTCATTCGACGAGCTCAGCTTGTGGACTGCAACCATTGGCTCTCTCATGTGCCTTGCGGGCAAAGTAGACGCTCCACATTTCATAGAGCTCACCGTCTCTGACAGCCTGAGAAACGGGGGGAGGGGGGGGGGGGTACTTACCTCTACTGTAGGGGGATGGATGGTGCATTCAGCAGTCAAATTTAAAGGCACCTGAATTGAGCGCTTGACAGGCTTTTCAACTCTTCCGAGTGCTGGTTCGAACAGCGTGCAGGGCAGTGGCGTAGGCAGGGGGGGGGGGGGGGGGGGGGAGTAGTGTGTGGGGATCGAAACGCTCTCTTTAGCTTGCGGTATTCACAACTCAAGCAGGTCGTTCGCCCTCTCGGGGACGAACGACTAACCGGTTTTTTAAACTCTTGCATGAAGTCATCCTCCTAAGGTTTTTTTTTAAACACTTGCTTTACCATTCATTTCTGGGCTTAAATGCTTGTCTAGGTTCATTTATTTAGTTCTTCTCCATTTATAATTACTCTTTCTTTCGCGGCCGACGAGGTCATCACCGATCCCTAATCCCGTTCCTTAGCCGAAGAGTTTGGAAACTCCTGTTTACTCGTTGAGAGCAAAAGCGCGAAAGCAAAGAGCGCCGTGACAATGCACTTTAGCGTCGACTGCGGTATGGCTTCAAGTGAAACGGTGTGCGGCCGTATGAAACATCCCGCGTTAAAACAGGCGGAAACGCAACGAGCCATTCGTTGAGTTCGTTAAGATCTCACTGACTAAGAAATCAAGGCTGGCCTTTTCCATTTTTTGTGCTCCATGCACTCCCAGATGTCGCTTCACCGAGGACCAAGGGGAAGTCTGGGCAGGAGCTTCCCAACGCACGCCTGGTGTCCAACGCCATCCGGGGGGCCCCACCCGACCCCCTGCGTCGGCGTCCGGGGCGCCACACGAACCTGTTCATGGCCTTCGGACAGCTGGTCGACCACGACATCGCGCTCACCCCAGATGTGCGAGGACGTACGTGCACACTTCAAGAAACCTCGTGTTTCTTTCCATTCGTTTCCTTCTCTCTTTTTTATTATTACGATTAGTCTCTTTTGATATTGTTATAATGGGTCAAAGCAATATCATAGGCTCCGCTGGCCGCGACTGCATAAAACAATAATAAAAAAAAAAATAAGCGGTATTCATAACCAAAAAAGAACACTCGTTAGCTGTTTAGATAGCAGGAGTTCTTTTAGGCTGCCAGAGTATGGCAACATTGTTTCCCATGGAGTATTGCTCCTGGCCTGGGTGACTTGAACGTGCACCACGCAGAAGTGATACACGACCGCGGGCGCCGGCACGATGCTCATTCAGTACGAAACGGGCAGGGATGGTGATTGAACCAAGGATCCCTGGGTCGGTGCGATAACATCACTCGGCCACCGATCTGTCACTATTCGCAACATCAGTGGTAATTTATAACAAATTAACAATCAATGACAGTTCGAGTGAAGAAGTTAGATTAACAGCGACTTTTATCTCCAAATTCTTATCATGCATGAAAAACAACATTTAAGGTGCGATCCTCTAAAAGTATTTAGAAGACATCAAACCGTCGTTTCGAGGATTGAAGAAGAACCTTATGTTTAATCAATCTCCCTGGTACATTAAGCTGGGAAACTATGTGCATATTTCGCGTGACATGAGGTTGCCCGACGTCAATCTTTTCGCTAAATTTAGCGGGAAAACTAAATTTGAGGTCTCGTGACGACACGTCACGTGACATAAAATTTCGCGAGAAAAAAGCGATTCGCTCGCTGATTTTGGAGGGGAAGTTTGATTCGTACGTAGATAACGTTAGGTCCAGTCACGTGCCGTCAATTCACATCACGTTACCTAAACACCGATTCAATTTCCCCGCTAAATTGGGCGGGAAATGCGCGGACGGACGGACGGACAAAACTTTGCGATTGTGCGCCTTCCGTTAGAAAGTATTTCATGCCTTGGTACTCCGGCGGTTTTACGAGCTACCTCAGGTAACTGTATCTTCTGAATCCCTGGCCCTTATCCTGTCCGGTACGCTAGTTAGCATCGCGAAATTAAAAATACTTATTGAGAAATAGACAAATGAAATTAATGCCCAAAGCAAACTTTCATATATACCAGCACTTTTCAATGTCGTGATGTCAGTGGCAGGCAGGCATGCCGGTCGAACGGGCAGTCTGGATGCTCAGACTATGTCACGCATTTGTGTCGAGAGGCTGAACGGCTACTGGAGTGAGCTTTGAAAGCATTTATTTTACAATATAAAACTGCTGAGAATCAGATGGGAAAACATTCTGCAGACCAAAGAGTGAACCCCTGCCTGCCACTGACGTAACATTTTTATGATTACCAGTTTTCATGGAGTGGGGGTCCAAATTGAGTGAACCCGATAAAAGAAACACCCCGAGATAAAACGAGAAATTAGTTAAGAACAAAGAAAGACTTTATCGTCCGATGACAAGCGATTGGTTCACGCCCGGTGCGAAAATCGACAAAGAGGTGAAGGACGCAGGGGTTACAAATAAAAACAAGAAATTTAGTTGGGCGATAAAAATCCGCGCACGGCGACAGCAGGACAAAACCAAGAGAACGAAACGCAAAGACGCGTTCCTTCAGCAACACACTCACGAATCTTCGGGCAGCGGGGCCCCGAAGAAAAACAAAACAGCACTCAATTCCCGACACAACGCGAATCAACTGGCCGCTCGCGGCACGAACTGCAGCCGGGAAACAAGTTCGCCGGTGCAAAGAAAACGAAAGTTTTGAGGAAGGAAAGTCTCCGTTGCTGAAACTAAAGTCCACGGGAAAGTTCGAACGAAGTCCGTAGACTCACCGACGCCTTCGGTCCGACGGACGACGAAGTCTTGACTTTCCCGGCGTGGCAGACTGGTTGCTCGGCGGACGACGCAACGCAGCACCGCGCACACACATACACTACCCGAGAAGGGAAAAACCGACGTCCGCAGGCAAGCACGCCACTAAGGGCAAACGCCGAAGAGGCAACATTGAGGAACCTGCCCAAAATAATTCCAGAAACTTTAACCCACGGGAACAGATGACGAGAAGAACGGCCAGCCGACCTGACCGGCTTGTCCCGGGGGGGGGGGGGGGGGGGGGGGGTCCGGCCCATTTCCCGCCAGAACCGTGGCTTATATAAGCTATGACTCCCCCAAGTATTTCACCACACTCCAGTATAATGGCAATGCCGCACACATCATACGCCTTTGGAGGACTACCTCATCGATGTTTGTTTACAAACAAGCTCGCTGCCGCCAGCTACTGGCGGACTCCTGCGCGCTTCCGGTTTTCTTCTTCGTTTCCTTGTGTCTCGCATCCTTTTGTTATTTTCTGCTACGTTCTACAAGGCGCGTGGGTTCTTACAAAAGTATTACAGGTACTTCTCGTAAGGAAAATCTTCTTACCCGATCATTCTGTGTTGCTAGAGAACAAATAACTACACTACCGGAAGTCTACTGGGGCACGAAATATTGTGGCGCTTTCGTGGTACCAACTCCCGCCGAATGTGGTGAACACCCAAGCTTTAAAACACTAATCCCCTTGCCAGAGTATCGAGGTCGAGGTCGTGGAACGTCGCTTCCTACTTGGACCAAGCTACCCAAGCAAAACATAAAAACAAAAAACTCCTGACGATTGGCCTCGACAGAAACATATATGTTTACAATTTCTCCCTTTCGGAAGGTGGCAAAAAGCTGTCCAGCCTCCTTGTCTTGGCGGCAGAGATGCGAGCACCTCCAAAGATAATTCTATAAGTGGAAGCGGGAATCAACGAGGATGGATTCGAACGAGTTCCATAGCGGGATCTTTCAGTGGAAAAGACAAGCACGTGCGGAACAGAGACACAACCGAAATAATGCAGCAAAAATATTGAAATTCGTCACACCAGTTGAGGCTTTCATTTTGAAAAACACACCGAGGCCCATTATTGTAAGTTCAACCTCGCGAAACAAATTATTTTGACCTAATATTTGGTATACTAATTCAGCGGTGTGTATTGGTGTGTCTAGAAAAATTTCAAGCAAATCGGGGACCACGAGGAAGTCCCCGGAGTACCCATTTAAAAGCTTGAATGAGTATTTTTTTATAATAGGTCGATGTCACAAAGCACTCGGGGGATGCCTAAAGCCAGCGTAAATTATGCCCACAGGAGGCAGACAGCAGCGCACGAGAGTTCTTGCTGTCTCCTTTTGTGCCCGCGCAGAGCTCCAGCAAGGTTGTCGAACGTGCAGAACTAAATTTGCTTAGATTCATCATGGCAGTGGCAGTGCAACCAAACTGGCTGGTGAGATCGGTCTATTATGTGTTTCTTTTAGTTTGGTGTGAAAATGTCTCATTGACCCAGGACAGAAAACATAAGTTGTTATATTTATTCCAAGCTCGTCATTCGAGGCATCTTAAAGGCCAAATTATAACATTAGGTAAAGGGAGACACTGAATATTGCGATTTGTGCAGGGGATCCACCATGAAAGAAGAGAGCTGACCTAAAAAAAAAGACGCGGAGTTTCTTGATTTTCCGCTGTGATATGATTTGTCTATCTGTACGAGGAAGGAGCGGGTTCCATCAGTTCCTAGTTTGCTAAATCACTGCATTACGGCGAGTCCATTTCGCAACGGTCGAAATGATAACATAAAAAGTCTGACTTCCTTCAGAAGCAATGGGGCAACGATTATGGCTACTTCTGGCCACTTCCAAACACTCCCGGTACCCCGGGCGCTTAGTCTGCAATCAGCGCATTGACGGCTTCACGCGGCAAACGTCGGACAGGCGCAAGCGGACTGGTCCCTCTAAACACGTAATAATGATTCTTAGAAATGATGCGCTAGTTTTTTTTTTCGGAAACTGAAGCACGCTGGACGGGGTTATATTTCAGAGACAGGCTTATAGGAAGATGCAGTTGTGGATAAAGCCTCAGGATCCGGGGAAAGCAGCGCCATTGCCTTCCCCGTCTGCTTGCAGGACACAGACCGATGCTAACATACAGACGACCGAAACCTCACATGGCGATTGCCTGATCGATCTCTCGTGCCATGGAAATCGCCATTTTAGTCCTTCAGAGTCTTCGAAGCTTGTAAAGGACACTTTAAAAGCTTCGAAGATTTTTGAAGTTTTAAAGCAGTTGTGCCAACATTGCCATGGAGCGTTATCATGCTGAAAGTGTTCCTCGCCATTGTACGCGTCTTTGGCACTGTGTATGCAATGAGCTTATCAATCATGTGTATCTCCACAGATGTCTTACAATGATATTGCTCTTCCCGCGCATCTCAAGACAGAAGCATTATTTTTGAACGCCTCCAAGCACTGACACCGCAAGTCGTGGCGGTACGAACATGTACTCTTTTATTTCCCCGGTGTGAGGATAGCAAACTCTCTGTACAAGCAACTTCACTTTAAGGCTACCCGTCACCAGCGAATTTAGATCAGCTCACCAACAACAAAATGGTCAAAGAGAAATGGCTGATTCCATGAACCAAACTATCGACCATACTGGGAGCCTGGTGCTACGTTCCCGGGATTTCGTTACCTAATCAGAAACGCGCGGTCTATGATGTTCACGTTTCTTAGTTCCTGATTACCTCGGCACTCTTGTTGACTAATGAAACAATCTCATTGCCATTTGGCAGAAAAATAATAGACTGCCCGGGACTTGTCCCGCGATACGTTTAACGGTTAAGAGTTGAGCTTGTCGGCAGCTGTTTGTCCTCTCCTGTCCTTTCTTCTTCGGGTTCAAGTATAGTTTTAAAGTTCAAGCTGATAGATTTACAAACCCTGCATATCTGTTCTGTAAGCCATTAGGAACCATGCCGACTCAACTCTCTGACGGAACGCCACCACGGTGGCGCTGCTGACGGCATTGCGCATGCGCAGATGATTCGCTTAGTTGTATTTTAAGGACAAGATACAGATACTGAGAAAAATGTTTCTTTGATGTAACGGAGTATATCTGAGATACTTCTGAAAAATCGGCAT